TGCAACCCTAATAACCTTGGATCTATGTTTGTCTAATTATCATGCAAAGTTGAATTCCAAGGCTATATTCCTATCTAGCATACATGGGGAACAATTTTAACTGAAATGATAGATAGAGTAACTTACCTTGTTGTTGCTTATGTTCCTTGAAACCTTATGAGCCTAGCACCCCAAGTGTGATGCCCCAAATGCTTCACACAACACCAAATGCTCTTGGAAAGACTTTTGAGAGAATGCACACTTCTTGAAATCGGCCTAGCCCTCTTGTTTCCTTAGTGTAGCCGATTTTGGTGGAGAATATGTTTCTTATATAGTGTTGACACATCTAGGGTTACACCATGTAAACCCTAATGTGTCATGACTCTTCATTTCCATGACCCATGGGTTTGTAACTTCCATGGAGCATCCTATGGGTGGAACCCAACTTGATAATCCATGGAGCCTCTTAGCCCACTATACAAGATATGGATGATTTACATAATCAACCCATATATTTAATTAGTTCCCTTTTGATCACTTAATTAATTCTAAATTAATTCTTGATCAAACTAATCAAATAATATTATTAATATATTAGAACTTATAATATATTAATAATCTCCAAGTGTTATTTCTCTCATTTAGTCTATCCAATTGCATGGTGCCATGCAACCCAAATGGACCATGTCGGGTCGGGTCGAGTACATACCAGAAATAGATATGGACTTAGACACCTTATCCAACAGTCTCCCACTTGGATAAGTCTAATAACTATTACTGCAAGTATGACTTCAGGAACCGATCGGCAATCGTAGCTCTTTTCAAGGTTTCTCGAAACTGAGAAGATGATGGTACGCCATTTAAGATAAGAGATCATATAATCCTCCATTCTAGATATCAGCCGGACAAATACATGGAACAATGTCTTACTTATTGTCCAACAGTTTGTTTCCCGATTTCCGATTTGTTTGACTAAGAACTTAATTGAACACATCAACTTAGTTCTGACCGGGCCCGGTACATAGGTCAAAACAAAATCATCGAGGGGCCCAGATATCAACTTCTAATCCAAGAAGGAACAGATAAACTTCAACTCATATGTTTGTTCTACCACTCATTGAATTACACACAAAAGCACGTTTTATAACATCGAGTTACCAATGCGTTTTTCGTACAATCAATGCATAACCAACTTGTAAGTAACAAATCATATCTCTAGGTTTGAACACTTATACGATATTACCGTCTCACGATCACTCGAGATAGAATTCCATGAAGCGATTCTAGTGAGCGTGGGTTGAGTCCAATGCTCAGAACTTATGAGCACTCATGATTGCTGTAGCCTTGTCCAAGACCTCTACAACCGAACATGACAGTCTTGATTCATACCTACTTCCGACATATGACCGACTGTGGAGGTTTGAATAATAAGTTATACCAAACAAAATTTATTCTGGAAGTCAAAACATGCAAAAGAAATATAGTAAATGATCGATAAGAGATAGCAACACTTTACTCATAAATAAAACACTTTTATTCATCATCAAATGTCAATTACACTTTACAAATTTCGAGGTTATCTAACTACTAAATCTATTATCATCCTTCAGCCCTATGCTCCGAGCATGCTGGAGATGCTTAACCCGAGTCAGTCCCTTCGTGAGGGGATCTGCCGGATTCTCATCTGATGATACTCTCTTTGCCACGAGGAGTCCTTCTTCGATCCGATGTCTGATGAAATGGTATTTTCTGTCGATGTGTCTGGATCTCCCGTGATCCCTTGGTTCCTTGTCTAAGGCAACATCACTTTCACTATCACAAAAAATTTCCATTGGCTCTTTAATAGCTGGTACAACTCCAAGGTCTCCAATGAAGTTCTTCAGCCACATCGCCTCCTTTGCCGCCTCGCTAGCTACAATATACTTTGATTCACAAGTAGAATCTGCCACTGTCTCTTGCTTGGAACTCTTCCAAGAAATTGCTCCTCCGTTTAGGGTAAAGACCCAGCCCGACTGAGAGCGGAAATTATCCCTATCAGTCTGGAAGCTAGCATCACTATACCTTACAACTCTCAAGTCATCACTCCCACCGAGGGTAAGGACCCAATCCCTAGTCCTTCGTTGGTACTTGAGGATATTCTTTACCGCAGTCCAGTGTGCCTTGCCAGGGTTCCCCTGATACCTACTAACCTTGCTTAGGGAAAAGGCTACATCAGGTCGAGTAAACGTCATAGCATACATGATCGATCCTACAGCCGAAGCATAAGGTATTCGACTCATTTCTGCTATCTCAGCCTCAGTGCTAGGGCTTTGTGTCTTACTCAATCTGGCGTTACTCTGGATAGGTAACTCTCCTTTCTTGGAATCCTGCATGCTGAATCTCTTCAGCACCTTATCCAAATAGGTACTCTGACTAAGTCCAATTAGTTTTTTACTCCGATCTCTCAAGATCCTTATCCCTAGAATATAGGCAGCTTCTCCTAGGTCCTTCATAGAGAAACACTTCCCAAGCCAGGACTTGACTTCCTGCAGAGTTGGGATGTCATTTCCTATGAGTAGTATGTCATCCACATACAATACCAAAAAGCTAACTATACTCCCACTAGCCTTGACATACACACAAGATTCATCTTCACTCCTAGAAAAACCAAATTCCTTGACCTTTTCATCAAAGCAAAGATTCCATCTGCGAGGTGCTTGCTTCAATCCATAAATGGATTTCTCAAGCTTACACACTCTATTAGGGTACTTGTTGCTGACAAAACCTTCTGTCTGACTCATGTAAACATCTTCAGCCAATTTTCCATTAAGGAATGCAGTTTTGACATCCATTTGCCAAATTTCATAGTCATGAAATGCAGCTATGGCTAACATAACCCTGATAGACTTAATCTTGGCTACTGGAGAAAAAGTCTCATCATAATCCACTCTAGGAATTTGAGAGAACCGCTTTGCAACCAATCTAGTCTTATAAGTGTGTACATTACCATCCATGTCGGTCTTCTTCTTGAAGATCCATTTGCACCCCACTGCCTTACGACCTGGTACATTTTCAACCAAGTTCCAAACTTGATTGTCATACATGGATTGTATCTCGCTATCCATTGCCTCTTTCCACCTAGCTGACTCAGGGCCTGCCATGGCTTCCGCATAACTGGTAGGTTCATCCAGACCTATCAGTGTCTCATCACTGATAAGTGTATCTCCTTCTGCAGTAATACGGAATCCATAGTAATGCACATGAACATGCTTAACCCTTGTGGAACGCCTCTGAGGTACGGACTTGTCGATTGGCTCAACAGGAGTTTCCTACTCAGGTTGAGGGCTAGTGTTTGAAGTTCCTTCACTGCTTGATTCTTGAATTTCTTCAAGATCAATTTGCCTCCCACTGTCTCCTTGGCTTATAAATTCTCTCTCTCGAAAGACTCCTCTTCTTGCTACAAAGACCACATTATCACTAGGTCTGTAGAAGAGGTAACCAAAGGATTGTAGTGAGTATCCGATGAAAATACACCTCTCGCTTTGAGGTTCGAGCTTATCATGAGCCTCGCATCTCACGAAAGCCTGGCAACCCCAAATCTTGATGTGGTCTAGTTTAGGTACTTTACCAGTCCACATCTCGTGAGGAGTTTTGGCAACTTTCTTTGTAGGGACTAGATTAAGAATATGGGCGGCAGTCTCTAAGGCATACCCTCAGAATGAGATTGGTAGCGTAGCTCGACTCATCATGGAACGAACCATATCTAACAAGGTTCGATTACGCCTCTCAACCACACCATTCAACGGCGGTGTCCTAGGAGGTGTCAATTGTGAGACAATCCCACATTCCCTTAGATAGTCGAGGAACTCTGAACTAAGATACTCACCACCTCGATCGGATCGAAGCATCTTAATGTTCCTGCCCAATTGATTCTCGACTTCCTGTTTAAATTCCTTAAACCTTTCGAAAGTCTCTGACTTATGCTTGATTAAGTAGACATATCCATATCTACTGTAATCATCAGTGAAAGTCAAATAATAACGATTAGCATCCCTTGTGGCATGTTTGAATGGTCCATATATATCTGTGTGTATAAGTTCCAACAAACCTTCACCCCTTTCACACGAGCCTGTGAAGGGTGACTTTGTCATTTTTCCAAGTAAGCATGATTCGCAACTATCATCTGACTTTAGGTCAAACGACTCCAAGACTCCATCCTTTTGGAGTTGGCCTATGCGTTTCTTGCTTATATGTCCAAGACGACAATGCTATAATGATGCTTTATCCAAGTTATTATTATTAGTAGAATTAATACACAAAACATTATTTCCTAAATTATCTATAACGGATACAACTTCATACACACCATCACATGGTAATGCTTTAAAATAAAGAACATTATTAAAGAAAGCATCAATAGAACCAACTTCATTATAAACGAAAAGGTAAACCCTTGTTTGTAGAAAGCATGAAAGGAAATAATATTTCTTTCCATTCCTGGCAAGTAACAACATTTATTCAAATCTAAACTAAACCCACTACTTAGCAATAAAGTATAAACTCCAATCTTGGTGACAGGTGAAGCTTTCCTATTCCCCATGATCAAGTTTATTCTTCCTTGCTCCACATCCTCACTTCTTCTTAGTCCCTGCAAGTCACAACAAATATGAATACCACAACCGGTATCAAGGACCCAAGATTTAGAATGGGGTGAGTTATTAGATTTGATAGTGTAAATACATGCATGGTTGGGTTTAACTTTCCTATCCTTCACATCCTGCTAGTACTTTGGGCAGTTCCGCTTCCAATGAGCCTTTTCATGGCAATAGAAGCATTCACCCTCTTTTGGGTCAGAAGAGGGAGTGATGAAACCTTTCTTGGTTCCACTTGAAGAAGATCCATCCAGGGTACGAGCCTTGGTACCCTTCGA